GAGGAGGAGGAGGAGGAGGAGGAGGAAAAGAAGAAGACGGATGAGGAAAAGAAGAAGACGGATGAGGAAAAGAAGAAGACGGAGGAGGACGAAGAGGATGGCGAGGAGGAGAAGAAGAAGGCAGTCAAAGATAGAGTGGTCATAAGTCTTGAAAAAGAAAATAGCGAATACAAGAGTGAGGAGTGTTGAGGAAGAGAAAAATCTTGCCAGTTCAAAAGTTGTTGGTCAGATGCGTGGTCACGAGCTACCATGGCAGATGGGAGTCCAACAGGTAGTTGCTTGTTCTTCTACGTGGACAGTCACTCACAAACTGTCCACTTCTCTTACTGCACTCACAAACTGTCCACATCTCTTACTGGACTCACAAACTGTCCACTTCTCTTACTGCACTCACAAACTGTCTACATCTATTGCTGGACTCACAAACTGTCTACATCTCTTATGGACTCACAAACTGTCTACATCTCTTACTGAACTCACAAACTGTCGACATCTCTTACTGAACTCACAAACTGTCTACATTTCTTGCTGGACTCACAAACTGTCTATTTATCTTACTGGGCTCACAAACTGTCCACTTCTCTTACTGGACTCAACCCGCTCACAGGCAGGAGCCACCTATACAAGTGGCCGGAACTGACAGCCCAAAGGTTGACAACAATTATTGCTGACATGAAACAATCTCGAGCTGAAAAAAAGCAAGAAGCAATGTAAAAGAAACCGCTAAACGAAACAATGACAACGGAAGTAGTGGCTGCACGTCCTCGTCATACGTGTTGCACTTGGCGAACTTGAATGCTGCAGCGTCGTATCCTATATGGGTTAGTTCGGTAAAAAGAAGAACGCAGAGTAACCACGAGATGCCATTTATGAGGTGGTTGAGGGGAGGGGGCCGGAGGTTGGGAGGGCTCTGAATTTGACGTTTATCTCCGACAAGTCAGAGCCAAAAAGCTGAGGGGTGTTGAAAACTCCAGGAAAAAACATCGAAGAACTCCTTTTTAAGAATTCCAATCTACACCTCCGTGAGATATTCCAGCAGGGTACGACGGACGTTCGGCGTGATCTCTGAAGGCTCAAGCAGACATCCAAGTTGTCACTTCTGGGAGATCATTGGTAGTGGCAAAGTGTTTGAAAATAGACTGAGCTACTTACACTACATAGAATAATGGAAATGGAATATTTTTCCTTACCATTAATTGCCCAGTAGAGTCTCCCTGACGCTCTGTCGGTAGTGCGTATGTCTGTAAGAAAGAAGAAATATTGTCTAAATTTCTTGCTTGTCTTAACTTTTTGAGGATGCGTCTCCGACAACGCTGGCAAACAAGCTGTTTTGAAAGCAGGTAAAAGGGACTGGAACTTGGTTAATTGCGTAGATTGTTTCTATCAGTTTTCTTTATCGGAATCTTTTAAATAATTTGACGTGTATCTCCGACAAGTCCGAGCCAAGTGGGTGAGGGGCGTTGAAAACTCCGGGAAAAACAAAACACCGAAGATATCATTTTTAAGAATGTCAACCTGGCCCTCCGTAACATCAGAATTAAGCAAGGTTAGTGCTGCCAATGAGCATTATAGTTGGGCTGTTTGTCAAGAGGTAAGACGAATAAGATCAGTAAAATGGAAACCGAGAAAGGAACGAGGGAGAAAAAAAAAAGATTATTGTAACATCAACGTTTTCAACAATACCAACTACAGAAACATTAAAAATAAAAAACCATGACTAAAAGAAAAGAATGGGAAGGATGACAGCAGTGACAACAAAAGGACTAGTGGAGACATTGAGTGAAGAGAAAAACGTACCCAGAAGCTCGTAGCCGACCCGAGGCTCAACTATCTCATAGTACGGGTTTGAAGAATTCTCGTGGCAGCCATCTGGTGGTGGTTTGGGGAAAGGGGGGTGGGAGGGGGAAAGGAGGGGGTGAGTGAGAAATTGCCGTCGACAAAATATACATTTTTCTTATTTGGTTTTGTGGGGGTTTTGTTTTTTTGTTTTAGTAAGAGTTTTACGGCCCTAGCAACACCATAAGGTCATATAAGAGCCAAAGATTAAATGTTTTACAAAAGAGTAACAAACACAAAAAAGGAGGAGGTGAGATAAAGACGATTTGTATATTATGTTCGACAGGAAAGTAGAAGCAAACCACATCAGAGCACCCACCAACCACGCACGTTTTTGCTTTTGTTTGTCATTTCTTAGTACGGAGAAACACGCAAACTCGATATCGTTTATTTGTTTGTTTGTTTGTTTGTTAGAGTTAAGATAACACGACACGACAATCATCATATGTGAGGCAGCGTGGTGTAATCAGGCTCTCGTCAAAATAATCAAAGTGAAGAAACCTGCATTTTTCCTCTGGTTTGTAAATTTTTATCAATTTTTTTTTGGCTCAACACCTTGTATGCCGATTAAAGAACTCATTTAAGTGGATTGTTTCTGAAAAACGTTGATTAAAGGCACACAAAAAATGTAACTTTTCAGTTAC